ACAGCCACCACAGCCTTGACCTGCTGGGCTCAGGTGATCTTTCTGCCTCAACCTTCCAAGTAGCTGGAACCACGGCCACGTGCCACAATGCCCGACTAATTTTTTGATTTATTGTAGAGATGAGATCTCTCCTAGTTGCCCAGGCTGGTCTCTAATTCTGGATTCAGACAATCCTCTTGCCTCTGCCTCCCATAGTGCTGGGATTACAGGTGTGAACCACCACATCCAGCTGTTTCATTCTTTTTTTTTTTTGAGTTGAAGTCTCACTCTGTCACCCAGACTGGAGTGCAATGGCCGCTCCTGGCCACCGCAGCCTCGACCTGCTGGGCTCCGGCAATCCTTGCGCCTCAACCTTCCGAGTAGCCGGAATTCAGGCATGCGCTACCACGCCCGGCTGATTTTTTGATTTATTGTAGAGATGAGGTCTGGCTGCCCAGGCGGGTCTCGAACCCGCGGGTACAGGCAATCCACTCACCTCAGCCTCCCAAAGGCACGGGATTACAGGCTGAGCCACCGAACCCGGCTTGTTTCATTCTTGATATTGTGTCTTCATTCCTTTTATTTTTTTGTGTTTTCATTCCTTTTTATTTTTTTTAGTCTTGTCAGAAGTATATAAATTGCATAGAGCATTTTTTAAAAACCTGCTTTTAAAATAGATATTTATTTATTGTTTTTGTTCTCCATTTCATTCATTTTTGCTTTTATGTTGATTATATTCCTGGGTTCTTTTTGCTCTTTTTCTGACTTCTTGAGGTTTAGATTGTTGATTTGAGACCTTCATTTCTAAAGCATTTAATAGTGTATTTCCATCCTTTACCACTGATTTAACTGTATCTTACAAATTTTACTGTGTTGTATTTTCACTTTTGTTTAATTTAAAATGTCTTCTGATTTCCCTTGAGATTTCAATATCTTACATGCCTTGTTTAGAAATGTGTTGTTTAACATATTTGGAGATTTTTCAGTTTTCTTTCTGTTACTGATGTTTAGTTTAATTCCATTATGGTCAGAGAACATAGTTTGATTTCAGTTCTTCAAAATTTGTTAAGTGTTGCTTTTATGACCGAGGATATCTTGGTAAATGTTCCATGAACTTGAATTATTGAATAGAGTGTTTCATAAATATAAATAATATCATGTTGGTTGATGGTGTTCAGTTTTTCTGTGTTCTTGTTGATTTTTTTGGTCTGCTTTTTCTATTCGATTTACTAATCTATTAACAGATTTTCTGTTCTGATTAATGAGAGAGGAATGTTGATGTCTCTGACCATAATTGTGGATTTATTTATTTCTCCTTTCAGTTTTATCAGTTTTTGCTTTATGAATTGGAAGCTGTAATGTTAGATGTGTACTCATTTAGGATTGTTACATTTTTCCTTTTATTTTTTTTTTGGTCAGGGTCTCACTCTGTCACTCAAGCTGGAGTGCAGTAGCATAATCACGATTTACCTCAGCCTCCCCAGTAGCTGAGAATACAGGCTCATACCACCATGCCTGACTGATTTTTTTGTGAAGACAAGATCTCACTGTGTTGCCCAGGTTTGTCTCAAACTCCTGGGCTCAAGCAATCCTCCTGCCTTGGCCTCCCAAAGTGCTGGGGTTGCATGCATGAGCCACCATACCCAACCTAGATTCTGATATTAATCGCCATTTTTTCTTTTAATTAGTATTTACATGGTACATCTTTTCTTATCTTTTTACTTGTAATGTACTTCTATTATGTTTAAAGTGGTTTCTAGTATACAGCATGTAGTTTTTTTTTAGTCCTCACGATCTCTGTATTTTATTATATTATTTAAAAAATCTTTATTAATTTTATTAATTAATGTTTAAATTATATTTTGAGTCATAATCTCATGCCCAAACTGGAGTGTAGTGGCATGATTATGGCTCACTACAGCCTTGAACTCCTGGGCTCAAGTGATTCTCCAGCCTCTGCTTTCTAGGTAGCTGGGATTACAGGTGCATGCCACCATGGCCAACTACCTTTTTCTATTTTTGGTAGAGATAGGGTCTCACTAAGATGGCTAGGCTGATTTCAAACTCCTAGGCTCAAACTATCCTTCCACCTTGGTCTCCCAAAGTACTGTGTTTATAGGTGTGACCCACTGCACCCTGCCACAATCTGTGTATTTTAATTGTTTTTAAATTTGAGATTCTGTTGTACTTAATAGTCCTGTTTCTTTAACTACCATTTTTTAGAAGAGTTCTCAATTATTTTTGTCTTTGAAATAGCCAAATCTATTTGTTTTCTTCTCAGAAAAATCTGTAAGATTGATTTTTTTTTTTTTTTTTTTTGAATCGGAGTCTCACTTGTTGCCAGGCTGGAGTGCAGTGCCACACTCACGGAACCACAGGCATGTGCCACCACTCCCGGCTAATTTTTTAATTTATTGTAGAGACGAGATCTTGCCATGTTGCTTAGACTGGTCTCGAACCCCTGAGCTCAGGCAATCCTCTTGCCTCTGCCTCCACCTTCCAAAGTGCTGGGATTATGGGCCTGAGCCACTGTGCCTGGCCTGTAAGAATGATTTTATAATCCCTGTGTTAGAGATAAAGAAACAGACTCAAAGAGGTAGCACGTCTAGGATACGTTGTGAGAGAGAATGAAGATTGAACTTAATATTCTCTCCAAAGTGCCTGGTCTTTCTGCTTTGAGAACTGAGCTTGAGTGGTAACTTTGAGAATAGAAAAGGAACAACAGATGCATGAATTATAGTGTGGACAGATACACTGGACTTAGCAAAACTTCATCAGCAATTCAGACTCTCACAAAAGGATGAGGATGCATTTATCCTTTATTTATTTAAATTTATCTTTTATTTTTTGACTAGAAAACTTATGTGGTATAAAAATCAACAGATGAAAAGGGCCTGTAGTGCACTGCCAGATGTATACCAACATATCAAGCAAGTAGGCATGTATTCATATCCCCTGCCCCTTTTAAAGATGATAACCTGCCCATATAGAATGTTCTGTACCATAGTGTTTTAATAGTGTGTCATGGTGATAATTTCCTATGAGTACACAAAGTGGTCTCTCATTCTCCTTTATGCTCTATAATATTTTACTGAATAGACATACTGTTCTTAGCCATGGACTAGTTAACATTTAGTAATTTAAATTAACCATAGACTAATAGGCTGTTTGACTTTAAAAACTTAAAAAAAATGAAGTATAACATATGTGCAGGAACACACACAAATCATATGTGAACAGTTCAATGTTTTTCAAAAAAAGAGCATATCTCTATAACCATCACCAAGGACAAAAAATGGGACATTATTAGTACCCCAGAAGTCTCCTCTGTGGCTCTTCCCAAGCACTGCCCACTTTTTCCTCCCCAAAGGTAACCATCATCCCCGACTAATTTAAAGTTCCTTCCTTCCTAGCCTGTGCATCTATCATTTTCTTTATAATAGTGTTAAGGAGAGGAATATCCACCCCCCCACAAGGCAGAGACTCATAGATATGTGAAACAGAGAGAGAGAACTCGGGGAATGTTGGTAGGATTTTGAAAAACATTTAGCTATTTCAACTTGGTGATATAAACATATGAGGAAATTGCTTTAGAATGTGGGCTAATGTATGCTCTTGGAGTTAGGTTAACCCTCTCAGAATACTTACCGGATGAACCAAAGCAAAAAATCAGGCATTTCCTCTTTAGGTAATGAGGTTTAATGAATAAATCATAGTCACTGGAGTCAGACAGCAGGCTAGGAATCCCAACTCTTCCACTGGTGGCATGGTCTTTGATCATGTGCGTAGTGGGGGTAATACTTTTGCAATGTTTTAAGAATTAAGATATTGCATATAAATTATTTAGCTTGGTGCTTGTTTATATAGTAGATTCTCAGTAAATATTAGTTTTCTTAATATGTTCTCCCTGCCAACTTTTTATTTTGACAAATTTGAGGCCTATGGAAAAGATGCAAAATAGTGCCGTAAACAACTATGGATTCTTCATCTGTATTCACCAATTAATATTTTCTACATTTACTTTATTTCTTTTTTCTGTGTCCCAACTTATTAGAGTTAGTTGTAGACATCATGACATAGCACCCTTAAGTACTTAAGTTTGTGTCTCTTTCTTAGGGCATTTTCCTAAAAAATCATAATACTATTTATCTAGTATAAAGTTATTATTCAAAAATATAGCCTTTATTTTTTAAAAAATTGAGATTCCATTGTACTTGGTAGTCAAATCTCTTCATCTACCATTTATTAATAGTTAGAACCATTTTTGCCTTAAGATTGTCATTAAGATTTTTGAAGAGTTCAGTCCTGTTGTTTTGCAGAATGCTGTTCAATTTAGATTTGTCTGACAGACTCCTCTTGATTAGATGCAGGTTAAAGGTTGTAGACAGAAGCACTTTAGATGTAATTGTTTGCTTTCATTGATTTATTTCAGGAGAAACATGATGCCAGTTTGTCCATGAATGGTGATAATAGATATATTTTCTTGGTTATGGTGGTGTTTGCATGGTTTCTATATTGTAATTAATGAGCCATCTGTGAGATGATATCTTGAGACTGTGAATATCATGTTCTGCAATGATCTTTCATCTGATGCTTTTAGTGTTGATGATTTGTACCTGAATTAGTTATTATTACTATAGAGATTGTGCAGTGGTGATTTTTTGTTCCTTTTAGTCTTCCACGTTTATTAACTAGGTTTCTTTTGTAAAAAAGAGATTCTCCTCTTCCTTCCATTTCCTTCCCTACTTATTATCCATGTGGAGTTATGAATTCTTTATTTATTCATCCATTATTCATTCCTGTCATTATTCATTTTGATGCTTAAAATTGTCCTAAACTTGCCTAGTGGGAGCCACTTAATTCTTCTGGATTGGTACAATTGTATCAAAGGTAAGTTTTCTCTATTTTTAACATTTGGATCCATTTTGTAGCCTTGTAATCTATGGAGGCTAATGTGAGTATCATCTGTTGGACCCTCTGACTTTTGTTTGCTTTCAATAACCCTTCTGTGATAATTTCAGCAAATCACTGAATTGAAGAAAGAAAACTTTAACCTAAAGCTCCGCATCTATTTCCTTGAGGAAAGAATGCAGCAGGAATTTGATGGCCCCACTGAACACATCTGCAAAACTGTGAGTGGTCCACTTCTCACTGCTGTCCTTTATGTCTTTCCTTGTAGTCATTCTAAGAAGAAATTTGATTAATATTTGTTCTCAGAGTTAGCAGGGATAGAGCTGCTTTCATTTGAATTGATTATAGGGAGCATAAAGATATTAAGATAGCTTTCACATTAAGCAAAGAGCTGCATCATCATCATCATCATCATTACTATTATTATTATTTTTGAGTTGTGGTTTCACTATGTTGCCCAGGTTGGAGTGCAGTGGCAACTGCAACCTCAACCTTCTGTGCTCAGGTGATCCTTCTATTTCAGCCTCCCAAGTAGCTGGGACTACAGGCATGTGCCACCATACCCAGCTAATTTTTTTATTTTTGTAGAGGTCTTGCTATGTCGCCTAGGCTGGTCTTGAACTCCTGGGCTCAGGCAATTCTCTCACTTTGGCTTCTCAAAGTGTTAGGATGACAGGTGTGAGCCACTGTACCCAGCCAATGCATGTTTATTTTAAAGAAAATCTTTCACTTTCTTTTAAAAATCAAATTCTGATTCATTATTTTTTTACCTCGATTGGCTTTTTGTAATTACTTGTTGTTTAGAAACAGGCAGTGGAATGGTGGAATGGCTTTGGAATTGAATCCTCCTGTTTCCAACTAACTTGGAAAGCTTTAGGCAAGTCAGTTCACCTCTCTGGGCTTGCTTCCAGAGTTAAGTGATAATCCCTTTGTTATAGGGTTATTTGTGTGGATTAAGATGAGATGACAGATGAAAAGTTACAGCACATAGTCAGTGCTTGACAATTATCATCATTGTCTTACTGAGGCTTTCTTTGGCAGCCCACAGTTAGGGTTGTCAGTTTTTCTGTGATATGACTCCTCTGTATTCCTGTGTGCTCACTTGTAACTGTCAGAAGAAAAGTCTTTCTCCATTTGAAGTCTTGACCTGGAGGTCTTTGTCTGAAAACAAACCTTGGTTCTGAAAGTTGAAAAAAGAACTTGGCTTTCTTGAAAAGACATGAGTACAAACAATATTTCAGTGCCCATTTCTCATTTTTTTCTAGTAGATTAGCCCTTGGCCTGGGAATTATTCCATCTTTTTTCCTCTGAAGTTTGCCAGTGGAAACTTTTGAAGGAGGAAAAAGAATTTTCCTTGAGTTCCAGCAGATAAACTTAAATTGACTTGTCTGGAAGAGGGATTGTACTGTACTTGTGAGCCTTTTCAAGAATTGAAAAGCTCCCTTGTCCCTTAAGACAGCTTTTTTCTTCAGTATGGGGGTGGAAAGACAATGTGGATGTCCCCTTTTCTGGAAGAGAGTCGTGATGCAATCAAAATTTTAAAGGAAAACCAATAGCGTAAAGCAGTTTATATGTAAGAATGTATTTTGGAACTTCCAGTGTGATAGGAAGCTAAAACATGTCAGTTACCCATTCTCAGTCAGGCACTATCTTGGACATCTGTACATTTGTCATCTTATTGTAATTCTCACAACAGCCTTGTATGCAGTAGAGATTATCCTTATCTTATAGGGGAAGAAACTGAGTCTTCGGGAAGACCAGTAACATGCTTGATGTCATGATGCTACTATGTGAGGTGGATTTTCTTACCTTATTGTGTTACACTGCGTCAGCTGTCTGACTAGATGGCCTGATTTCATTGCCGTTTTTTTTTTTCACTGTAAGTTTTTGGATAGGTGCACATGGTTCAAAATTACAAAAACATAAGAGATACACACTGAAAAAGACTTTCTTCCACCCTCGTATCCTGGTCCCTTAGATCTAATCAACATTATTGATTCTTTATATAGAGGAATTTCATGTGTGTATAGTACAAGCAAGTATGTGTGTATGTGTATAAACTCCCTTTTTACATAAATGCAAGCATGTTCTGTTCTGCACCTTACATTTTTCACTTAATGGTACTTTGGATATCTTTCCTTAATAGTTTGAGCATCTTTTTTGATAGCTTTATAATATTCTATTTTATGATTAGAAGGTATAGCTGGGTACAGTGGGCCATGGTGATAGTCCTAGCACTTTGGGAGGCCAAGATGGGAGGATTGCTTGAGCTCAGGAGTTCGAGACCAGCCTAGGCAACATAGCGAGACTTCGTCTCTACAAGAAATTAACAAAATTAGCTGGGCATAGTGACAGGCACCTGTAGTCTCAGCTACTCAGGAGGCTGAGGCAGAAGGATCCCCTGAGCCCAGGAGGGTGGGGCTGCATGGAACTGTGATTACGTCACTACTCTCTAGCCTGGTGACAGAGTGAGATCCTGACTAAAAAAAAAAAAAAAAAAAA